TATTGAATATGGAAAAGTTGAAAGCCTTTTCTCTAAGAACTGGAACAAGAAAAAAATGTTCACTCTCACTACTCCTTTTCAACATAGTACTGGAAGTCCTAGCCAGAGCAACCCGGCAAGAGAAAAAGATAAAAGACATCCAAATTGGAAAAGAGAAAGTAAAACTGTTCTTTTATGCAGATGATATGATCTTATATCTGGAAAAACAAAAGACTCCACCAAAAAATCTTTTAGAACTGGTAAACTAATTTAGTAAAGTTGCAGGATAAAAAATCACCATACAAAAGTCAGTAGTGTTTTTATATACCAATAATGAAATAGGTAAAAAGAACGCTATTTATACTAACTACAAAATAAAATAACAATAACATGTTTAGGAATAAATTTAACCAAGGAGTTAAAAGACCTCTACAAGAAAAATTCAAAACATAATGAAAGAAATTGAAGAGGACACAAACAAATGGAAAGACACCCCATGCTCATGGATCAGAAGATTTAATATTGTTAAAGGACCATACTATCCAGAACAATCTACAGATTCAATGCAATTCCTATCAAAATAGCAATGTTTTAAAGAAATAGAAAAATAATCTTAAAATTTGTATGGAACCAAAAAAGAGCCCAAATAATGAAAGTAATTTTGAACAAAAAGAATCAAGTTGGAGACATCACACTGCCTGTCTTCAAAACACAGTACAAAGCTATAGTAACCAAAACAACATGGTATTGGTGTAAAAAACAGATACCTAGATTAACAGCAGAATAGAGAACTCAGAAATAAATCTATTATTTTCAGCCAACTGATTTTCAGCAAAGGCACCCAGAACATACACTTGGAAAAGGACACTCTTTTCAATAAATGGTGCTGGAAAAACTGATACCCATAAGCAAAAGAATAAAACTGGACCCCATCTCTCACCATATGCAAAAATTAACTCAATAAAGAGTTAAAGACTTAAACATAAGATCTGAAACTATGAAACTACTGGAGAAAATGTAAGGGAAACACTTCAGGACATCGGTCTAGGCAAAGGTTTTATGACTAAGACCTTGAAAGCACAGGCAACAAAAATAAAAAATAGACAAATGGGACTACATTAAACCAAAAAGCTTCTTTTCTGCACAGTGAAGGAAACAATCAACAGAGTAAAAGAGACAACAGAGTGACAGAGAAAATATTTGCCAATATTTTTCTTGCCAATATTTATTCTTCTGACAAAGGAGTAATATCCAGCAGATCAGAAACTCAAACTAGTCAACAGTAAAAAATATTGAATGATTTCATTAAGAAATGGGTAAAGGACATGAATAGACATTTTTCAAAAGGACATATATACAAATGGCCAATAGGTATATGAAAAAAATGGTAAACATTACTAATCATCAAGAATATGCAAATCAAAACCACAATGAGATACCATCTTGCCAAAATTAGAATGGCCTTTACGAAAAAGACAAAAAAATAGCAGATGCTACTGAGGATGCAGAGAAAAGGGAGCTCGTATACACTGTTGGTGGAATGTAAATTAGGACAACCGCCATGCAAAATGGTATGGCGATTTCTTAAAAAACTAAAATTCCACCAGTTCCACTACTGGGTATTTATCCAAAGGAAAGGAAATCAGTATATCTAAAGATAACTGTGTTCCCATATTTATGGCAGCACTGTTCACAATAGCAAAGACATGGAGTCAACCTAAGTGTCCATCAACAGATGAGTGGATAAAGAAAATGTGATACACACACACACACACACACATACACACAATAGAATACTATTCGGCCATAAAAAGAATAAAATTCTGTCATTTGGAGCAACATGGATGAAATCAGAGGTCATTATGTTAAGTGAAATAATGCAGGTACAGAAAGACAAATATCATTTGTTCTCATTCATATGTGGGAACTAAAAAATTTGATCGCAGGAAGGTAGAGAATGGAATGACAGCTATGAGAGACTGGGAAGGATATGTTGGAGAAGGGGGAGGATGAAGAGAGGTTGGTTAATGGGTACAAACATATAGTTTGAGAGAAGGAATAAGTTTTAATATTCAATGGCAGAGTAGCGTGACTATAGTTAATGATAATGTATTGTATATCTCAAAATAAATAGCTAGAAGAGAGGACTTGAAATCTTCCCAACACACAGGAATGACAAATACTTGAGGTGATGGGTAGCCCCAATACAATGACTTGATCATTACACATTCTATACATGTAACAAGATTTCACATGTACCCCACAAATATGTTCAAAGATAATGTATCAATAACACATTTTTTAAAATAAAAGGAACCCCAGGTCTTATCTAGCTACCCAAACACTTCCCCATTCCCTCAGCCACAGTGAGGGTACAGCTCTGCAGAGATCTGCCAGGTACAGTTAGACAGGTTGTTCTCAGTAGGGCACTCAGCCGGGGGCCTGTAGGGATTGAAATCCAGGCTGCTCTCTGCTTTCCAAGCCATGCACCCTAGATGCCTACTCAGGCATGAAGGGAGATTTCCCTGTTTTACTGAAAGGCATATCTCTCTCCTGTGTCATATGCCTGGAGGTGGTACCTTTTTCTAACTTGTCATGAAGGTACCTTCTATGCCACTGGAGCCCTGCTTCAGCAGCCAGTGAGTTGCTTACTCAGCAAAGTAGGCTTCAATTTCATAAATTAAAAAGCCACACTGAAGAGTGGCCCTCTCACAAACCTGTCACCTCTGACCTAGGTCCTCATGTGGATCACACCGTGGCCTCACAGCATGAAATTCTGCCCAGGCTTGAATGGGGCTGCCTCACCACCTTTCCACAGGTCATTTGGACAGACCTCTTAGTTTCTCTGTTCGTCCCATCCCTGCCTTAGAATGAGGGAGCTGAACCAGGCGTCCTTCCTGGTTCTTACATGGGATGGCTCGTAACTCCCTGAAAGGCAATACATCAGGGAATGGGTCAGATTTGAAAGTCTAGTCTAGGCTCTTCTCTGTATAATTTTATATTTATTCTTTCTGGTTATTTTGTTATCTCTCACTAACACTTGTGGTGATCAGACAACCACAGGTATCCAAAGAAAAAAGATTTCAGCTTAAGATAAAAGACTAGTGAATATAAACAAACATCAAGTATCTTTTTCTCCCTCAGTTCACTTTCTTATTCAAACACACAAATATACATGTGTATGTGTGTGCACACACACACACTTATATATAAATACACATGCTGAGCTTATGACAGAGCTTTATTTCAAAGCAATATGCTATATTTTCCCAGATATAATCATTTAATGCACTTAGATTTATTTCTGTAAAACCCAGAAACAACTAAATTGCCAAGAATTCATGCCAGAGACATTTCTATTTACATGTTTCAGTATAAAATGTTTGAAGGAAGTAGCTCATATCTATAAAGGAGTTGGTTTGCCTCTGCAAGCCTCCTTATAGTAAGTACGATCAAAAACGTCATAGGTCATCCACACCACCCAATCTCATCTGCGTGACACAAAGGAAGCCCTGCTCCACTCAAGCTCTCTCTTCATCCTCCATGCGCCCCATGGGTTTCCAATCTTTATGTTTTTTTCATAAAGTAAAAGACTCCCCAGGTAACAGAGGCAGATAGATAGATAGACATCGCTTGTGCTGACAGGTTGTAAGTAGTAGAGAGAAGAGTGGAGGTGGAAAGGCTGAGTGGAGAACGCCAGCCTTGTTGGATTACACACGTGAAAATGAGGGAGAGAGAAATTGGGAACAGGGAAAATGAAGGAATTCAGTTGACATGGATTTGGCACTTACCTAGCACTGTATGTGCTATTGCTACTAGAATGTCTTCCTGGATGTCCCACAAGCACCTGATGATCAGTAAGTCCCAAACTGAGTTCAGGCCCCACTTGCTGTGCAGACATGCCCCGGATGTCCCTGTGCTATGCACAGAACTGCCATCTATCTAGGGATGTTCACGTATTATCTCATTCGATCCTCCCATCCACACATGAAATAGGAATTATCACCCCTAGTCAATACATGAAGCAACTGAAGCTCAGAGAAGCAAAGTACAACAGCTCGGGCTGCCGTAATGAAATACCACAGGTGGGGTGATTTAGTCGACAGACATTTATTTTCTCACAGTTCTAGAGGCCAGAAGTCCAACATCAAGGTGTTGGCAGAGCTAGTTCCTCTGGAGGGCTGTGAGAGCCTCACTCCTTGGCTTGTTCCTGGCTGTCTTTTCCCTGTGTCTCTTTGTACCATCTTTCCTCTGTGTATCTCTGTTCAAATTTCTCTTTATAAAGACACCAGTCATATTGGATTAGAGCCCACCTTAATGACCTCATTTTAGCTTGACTACCTTTGAAAATAACCTATTTCTGAATAAAGTCACATTCTGAAAATTGGGGTTTAGAATTTCAACACATGGATTTGGGAGCAGAGGAAAGATTGCAGTCCATAACACAAACCCCCAAAGACCTCTCTAGGAGGCAGTATTTGAGGAAAGGAGTTGGCTAGATGAAAATAGAGGCAGTGGATGGGAATGAGAGAAGAGTTCCAGGGAGAGGGATCACTATATACAAGGGAAAGAAGGGGAAGGAGCAGGACACAGCCCAATGCTGCTCATGGGATGAGGGTTCACATTCATATGCCACTCACAGCCCGGTCCAGCAGAGCTGACTGCCAGGCCATCCCTATCCCAGCGTTCTGGGGCTTCCCAAACAAACTCGATTTCTTGTGGACCAAAGGTTGTTTCTGGGACATCAGATTGGAGGGGAGAGCTGAGTTTGGCTGGGGCAGAAGAAGTGATCCTAGGGGCCTTTGAGCTCTAAGAATAAGCAGAGCCAGGAGAGTGGAGAAATTCAGTTATGAGCAGACAGAGCAAAGAGCAGTACTTAGAGGAAAAGCTGAACAGAACTGACAACTAAGGCCTCAAACGCCGGGTGCTCCCTGCCAACAACAGCCCTTGTCAGAGAGCCCAGGAAGGGCAGAAAGGAGAAGGAGAGGGAGGGAGGAGGGAAGAAGCTGCATTTCACTTACCTCACTGTCTTTCCTTCTCTGGGGACCCACAGAAAGATGCACTGACTATAAAATTGGAGCTTTTTAACTATTAGGCAACATGGAATAGTGTCTGAGGAAGCCAAACCAAAACCACTTGAATAAGAACATCACTAACTGAGGGGCTGGGGCTTGGCTTCATTTTATTCCAAGCCTTTGGCACACAACACAGAATCTGGCACGTGGTACGAATCTCACAAATACTTGGATGTTTGTTTGTTTACCTAAGAGGACATCCCAAGGATACCAGGCGTTTCTAGGTGAATCCTATGACTCCATTCCTAGCCTGAGAGTCCTGCCTCTAGGAAGGAAGAGATTATTATTCCCTTTATTTTAAATCTTCTCAATGCCAATTTTGTTTTTGATGTATTATTACTGCCTGAGGCTTTAGTCAGGAGACTGAGATCACACACAGATCTTAGAATTTAATAGCTTTTCTCCAAGAATGAAATCAGATTCTTTCTGAAAACTATCTAAAATTCACGCCTCATTACACAAGGAGAGCATGCTTCATGTGAAGATGTGGATATTTTTAGAGCATGTGTTTTGAATTTTATATCTGTGGTCCTATTTACCTGGATGAAACACATTTAAAACTTTCCCAAATTTCTTGCCTTTAAACCCTACGCTTCTTGTGGCTTTGAGGACATTTGCTCAGATTACGCAACACAAATCTTCCTTCATTAAACTGCTACAGTTTGTATTGAATGGCATATAATATATAGGAACTGTCAGACAATCTGGATTATTCACCCCCAAAGGAAGAGTTCTAGGTAAATGAATGATACTATGAAATTGCTGGGGCCAACAACCTTCCTTTTTTGTTTGTATCCTCTAAAAGGTGTCTTCAGGCTACGTTAGCAGGAAAGCACAGAGAAACTAGATGAGACCTGCAGGTCTTTGGGTACAAGAATGCAGCCTCAAAACGTTAGTGGAAGCTGCAGAGAATTCAGAGAAAGTGGCAGAGAGGAAAGACACACTTAACATTTGCTATCGAACGCACAGTTGGAAATAATATGGAACAGACTGACCAGAACCGAAAACATGGATTGAGGAGGAGGCATGCTGATCATTTTGGATTGGATGGTAGACATTGGGAAATTTACCTTGTTGAGTGCTGAATATTTGTATATTCCTGTAAACATGCATGAGATTTGTCCTAACAATTAACTTGTCTAGAAACACTTTGATCTTTCTGGGTCTTGATTTTAAGTTTTTTTTCAGGTGTGACCAGAGCATCGTTTACTCTAGAACTAATTTTGCTTCTCTCTTGAGGCAAAGACCTTTTCAATACTCCGTCTTCTGCCCAGTGAATTAAGAGGTTTTCTACTGTGGCTAGCAGAAGCAGAAATTATTTCCAGTTCTGTGTGAGTGTCCGGCATGTTCTCTCTAATCCTGTTGGCTGGTTCATGTATGGACCACAGATACTTTTTTATCTTACATGTGCCAATCAGTATGGAACTAAGACCCAAAGAGAACCTTCCACAGACCTCTGGAGTTCCCTGTGCATGCAGATTTTTTGTCTCTGCAACTCTGCCCTGAGAACTCTGCTGGCTCGGCCTTCCCAGGCTCCCTGCTTCATCTCCTCCACTCAGGGAGAACATTGGACCCTCCTGCATTCCACTTCCCCATGCCACAGCTTGGACATTCTCTCCTGGCAGTAACCTCGGGCAACTGTCCATAGGACTTACTGTCCTGCATTGCTAAGGTCCATAGTCTTGAGTGTTTCACATATTTTGTCCAGATTTTTTTCAGGAGGAAAGTAAATCCTGTCCTTATTACTCCATCTTTGGCTGAAGTGAAAGTCAGCTATTATGTTCAATTGCTTTTTTTAAAAAAAAATTTGACACATTGTAATTGTACATATTTATGGGGTGCAGTTTAGTATTTCAATGCATATATATGTTACATAATAATAAAATCAGAGTCGTGTTTATCATTTCTCTGTAATGAGAACATTCAAAAGCTTCTCTTCTGGCTATAACTTAACAGTCACCCTCCTGTGCAGTAGAACAGCGGTACTTATTCCTTCTAATTATAACTTTGTACCATGGACCAATCTCGCTCCATCATTCCTCCCCATTCCCCTCTCTACTCTCTGGTATTCACTGTTTATTCTCTGTTTCTTTTTGTTTTTTCTAGAGGCAGGGTCTCACTCTGTTGCCCTGGCTGGAGTGCAGCAGCATGATCGTAGCTTACTGCAGCCTCTGACTCCTGGGATCAAGTGATCCTCCTGTCCCAGCCTCCTGTCTACTCTCTGCTTCTATTATATATATATATATATGTTTTTTTGAGACAGAGTCTCACTCTGTCACCCACGCTAGAGTACAGTGGCACGATCTTGGCTCACTGCAACCTCCTCCTCCCAGGTTCAAGTGAATCTTGTGCCTCAGCCTCCTGAGTATCTGGGATTACAGGTGTGCACCACCATGCCCAGCTAATTTTTGTATTTTTAGTAGAGATGGGGATTTGCCATGTTGGTCTTGACTCCTGATCTCAAGTGATCCTCCCTCCTCAACCGCCTAAAGTGCTGGAATTATAGGCATGAGCCACCATGCTCAGCCTTTCAGTTTTTTTTCTTTAGATTCCACATATGAGTGATATCATATAGTATTTGTCTTTTTGCATCTGGCTTATTTCACTTAATATAATGTCTTCCAGATTCATCCATGTTGTCACAAATAACAGAATTTCATTCTTTTTTTTTTCCTTTTTTTGAGAGAAGGAAAGAAAAAAATGAGTAAAGGAGAGGAAGAAAGAGGCAGAGAAAGAGGGAGGGTGAATGGAAATATTGCTTTATTCTGAAAAAAATGGGTATTAATAATGGCCAATCAATGTTTCATTTAAACCTATGAGTAGGTGTGATGTGGTATTGACAAGAATGTATATTTTGTGTATTTGAAGTGGAGAGCTCTATAAATATTTATTAAGTTTACTTGTTCCAGATCTGAGTTCGAGTCCTTGATATCCTTATTAATTTTCTGTCTCATTGAATCTAAGTCTCTATGTATCTGGGTGTTAGGATCGTTAGCTCTTGTTGTTGCATTGATCCTTTTACCACTATATCTTTGTTGCTTTAAAATCTATTTTATCCGATACGAGAATTACAACTCCTGCTATTTATTTATTTATTTATTTTTGCTCTCCATTTGGTTGGTAAATCTTTCTCCATCCCTTTGTTTTGGGTCTTTGTGTATCCTTGCATGTGAAACAGGTCTGGATGTAACATGCCGTTGGGTTTTGACTGTGTCTTTTGATTGGGGGATTTAGTCGATTTAAATTTAGGGTTACTGCCATTTGATGTTAACTGGCTGTTTTATCCATTCGTTGATGTAAATTCTTCTTTATGTTCATGCTCTTTACTTTTTGGTATATTTTTAGAAAGGCTCATACTGGTTGTTTCTTTCTGTGTGTAATGCTTCTTTCAGAAGCTCTTATAAAGTAGGCCTGGTGGTAATAAAATCTCTGAGTACTTGCTTGTTCATAAAAGATTTTATTTTTCCTTCAGTTGTGAAGCTTAGTTTGGCTGGATATGAAATTCTGGGCTGAAGGTTCTGTTCTTTGAGGATGTTGAATATTGGCCCCCACTCTCTTCTGGCTTGTAGAGTTTCTGCTGAGAGATCTGCTGTAAGTCTGATAGGCTTGCCTTTGTGGGTAACCTGACCTTTCTCTCTGGCTGCCCTTAGTATTTTCTCCTTCATTTCAACCCTGGTGAATCTAACGATTATGTGCCTTGGGGTTGCTCTTCTTGAGGAATATCTTTGTGGTGTTCTCTGTATTACCTGGGGTTGAATTTTGACCTGCTTTGCTAGTTTAGGAAAATTTTCCTGAATAATATCCTGAAGGGTATTTTCCAGCTTGGATTCATTCTCTCTGTCGCATTCAGGTACGCCTATCAAACGTAAATTTGGTCTTTTCACATAGTCCCACATTTCTTGGAGACTTTGCTCATTCCTTTTTATCCTTTTTTCTCTAACTCGTCTTCTTGCTTTATTTCATTAAGTTGGACTTCGACCTCTGATATCTTTTCTTCTGCTTGAACAATTCGAGTGTTAAAACCTGTGCATACTTCTCAGAGTTCCTGTATTGTATTCTTCACTTCCATTAATTCACTTATATTCCTCTCTAAGTTGTCTATTCTCAATAGGATTTCATCAAACCTTTTTTCAAAGTTCTTAGTTTCTTTATGTTGGGCTACAACATGTTATTTAACTCACAGAAGTTTCTTATTATCCATTCCCTGAAGCGTGATTCTGTTATTGGGATGTGCTCGTTCTCCATCAAGCCTTGTTCCATTGTTGATGTGGAACTGTGATCATCTTTAGAGGGAGAGGCATTCTGATTTTGAGTATTCTCAGCCTTTTTATGCTGGTTTCTTCCCGTCATTGTAAATTTATCCTCCTGTCGTCTTTGAAATTACCTACTTTCAGATTAGGTCTCTTGAGTAGATGTCCAAGTTGTTAGTTCCCAGGGCCAGAACAGCGGTGTTAAGATTGATGGTGCTTTTCTGCCCAGGATTCTCCTGTCTGGCTTCCTTCTTGTGTCCCTAATAGGCGACTCTGCCTTCCCTGGGCTCCAAACCTCGGTCAGAAGGGTAACCAGTCTCATTTACTCTGTGCCGAGAGCTGCCGTGCTGAGGTGCCATCAGAACCGCTGGGCCGGCCTCAGGAGTCGTGCTGGGGACCCGTGTGTGTCCTCCAAACCTCAGTCAGAAGGGGAGTCAGCCCTGTTTACTCTGCTCCGAGAGCTGCCACGCCTAGGCGCAGGCGAAACTGCTGCGCCAGCCACAAGTGTCGCGCTGGCGACCCGTGTGGCTCCTCCCCCGGGAATCTTCTGCTCCGTGAGTGACCAGAATTTGTCTGAAACTGTGGTGTCCTCTAGTTCTCTGAGCTTTCACTGAAGCTGCAATCCTGAGATGCTGGCAATCGGCCATCTTGGATTGTTCCTCCCAGGATTTCATTCTTTTGGATGGTTGAATAATATTCTATTCTGTACATGTACCACATTTTCTTTATCCATTTATCCATTGTTGGGCACTTACATTGATTCCATATTTTGGCTCTTGTCACTTGCTTTTATAAGCAAGTCCAGAACCATAGACAGAACCAGCTTAAGTCAGTCTGTCTCAATAAAATTTTTAAATTTGTATCAGTT